AAAAACTCAATCCTTTGAATATCAGAAATGGCGGAATGATTACGGAACCGAGAGCATTTGAACACATCGCTATACTTATGTTCACACTGCGTTCTCCACTTTTTCTAGCATACACGTACTTCTCACCTTTCTTAGCCACTGTTTTCGGTGACTTACACACAAATTGAATCCCGGTTTCGTCTTCGTTATATATATCTTTGCCAGATATGTTGTAATCGTTTCGAATTTTTGCGTAGGCTTCAAAAAATTCATCCCGGATTGCTGGGAGCTCCATCTCTAATCGCGCCAATGATTTGCTCATTGTACTTCGTAAACTCAACTTGTGGCGGTCTAAAAAACGTGTAAACCACATATTGCTGGGTAGTTCATTTTTGAAAACTGGATGGTCTTGTTTTTCATCAATTTCTTTTGCAACTAACAAAATCTGTAATCAAAAAATATCAAAATTACATTGTAGAACAATGGAAAATTTTTTTTGTCGGCGATTTTTGTATGTAATGTACATACAAATGGAAGTACATATGTATGTACATATGAAAACATCTTACCTCTTTTCGAGTTAGTCCGAATCCGACGTGAGCAAGTTCTTTTATTGCTATAACCAATAAATTTTCAATGTTTTCATCAAGCACAGGTTTTTTTCCCGGTTTGGTTATTTTTCCACATTGCGTTTTGACATGACGTTGTAATGTTCCATACGGTATATTTGAGAATGCCCTTTGAGTTTCCCTCAGACCCATACCTCCATCTACGACTCGGCTGACCGCCTGCTCCAATTCTTCCTCCGTATAACTCATCTGTAAAAAGAAGACCGAATGTGGATCACTTTTACATTGTCCAAATGTGGATCAGACCGTTTATGGGTATATAAATATATTACGCGGAAATGCAACGGTTAGCACTAAAACACCCGGTAATATAATTTAAAAAGTACTTACGATTGTTTTCAGCAACCAATGTGATTAATTGAGGTCAATATCACTTTTTCAAAACAATCAAACATACAGTGCCGCAATCAAACTGAAATGATGTTGGACAACAATTTTTTGGTTAAACGGGTTTCTACATTCACATTGAACAATGATAACCACCAGAAAACGATTTTTTCAAATAATAACCAACTCAATTTCACAATATTTGTCACACAGTAAAACTAAAATCGCGATTTTTCGTTATTTTCGTCGCGAACTGATAAAAAGCATGATTCACAGGCCGGAGATACGTTGAGCGATCAGGTGCCTGGTGAAAAATGTTGCCTAAAGTAGTACAAAAAAGATACGTGAGGTGCGTTAGCTGTCATGCTGTTACGGGCTCCATAAATCAAACTGATCCAAAAACGGGCCCCGATCCACTTTTGGTACTTTACTGTATATCGATTACTTATTTAGTATCGATATAACTAAATTGTAATTTTATATATGCATATCTCTCTGATTTGTTCTTCGATATCAATTTATTTATCAGTTAATTCTTTCTTTATGATTTTTTTAATTATTTCACATTTACATGTATAAAATCATACAATAATAATTCAATTTTATTTTCTTTTTTTTTAAGTAATATAAGAACAAGAAAGAGAGAAAGAGAGAAAAACAGGGAGTGAGGAAGAAAGAAAGAACATACGAGCCACGCGCGAGACCGAACGAATAGACCAGGCATGATTCTCGCGGCTCGCAGTGTTAGTCATAGCTATAGCTCGGTATAGAAAGAGAGCGGTCCTATATATCTGCTCTCTTCTCCCCCCTGAGTTCATGGAACAAGCAGATAGGGCACACACGGGAAGGAACGAGAGAGGACCCAGCGCCAACAGCTCCGAGTGTAATTACAAAGGCCCCCTCGGCCTCACCCGCGTGCATCACCTTTCTACCTGAATCCAATAGCCCCGGTGGGATTACTGAATCTCCGTCCCCATCAGCGATATCATCCACCAGACCAGCCCACGTTTTCAGGGTCAACTCCAGCGCTGACACCATACTAGGGATGTGATCTGGGGAGAACATACCGCCCGCCTTCAGATCCTCGGCCCACGCCGTCCTGGTTGAAGGCCCCACACCCGTGGACACGATCGAGGTGGCCACAGCCTGCACCCACTATCGGTTTAAGTGAGCACACTCCAATAACCCAGACAGGCGACGGTAGCTAGTTTTTATTCTACTAGCCACCAGGCCCGCTTTTGCAGACAAGGTACGCGAGGTGCTACGTACCGTCCTAGTCTTAACGACAGCTGACTGGCCAGGAGAACCGCCCGTCGACACCTCCTTCGACGTCGTGGCCTTCACTGAATCTCTCGCCTCAGTTATCTCCTGTGCCTCGTGCGCTGCCCACACGGACATCTTCTTCCTATTTGACCGAGAGGGGACCGGAGGCTCATATGACGAAAGAGCCCCCCACAAGACGGCCATACGGATGCTTTCCGCTGTATCGGCGGTGTCTAACCTCATGGCACGATCCCACAAATCCCCGAGAGCACCCTGAACATCGCCATTCAGGTACAGTTCGCTCCCACCTGTCACCTCTCGGTCCGTGGGGATCTGAGGTTTCCGAACGGGGAGAACCTCTTTATTTCCACCCTTTTTGCTCCCACCTGACCCACCCCCTTCGGACTTACCAGAAGGTGCTTTCTTTACTGGGCCAGGATCCGACACTCCAGACGCGCCACTACTCGTTGTTGGTCGCGTCCCCTTGGACAGGCGGGACCCTTTGACGGATACCTTCTTTAACACTCCGCCAAGGCCCACCCTCTTCCCTCCGATGGCGGGGTTACTGCACGGCTTGACAGGCTGCCTCTCGCCCAGCTTAACCTGTGACGTCGCAGCAGTAATCCCCGTTACACTACTCTTTTCTGCGGGTTCCATAGCGTCGGACTTATGACCGTCCCCCGCTTGACGGCCAATTCTCTCTGAACGCTTAGGGACAAACGGGTCCCGGGGATGCTCGGGTACCCCATCGGGAAATATGCGGTCGTACTCCTCCGGGGTAAGGTACTCACTAGGGCGTATAGTATCCCATACATTCTCCTTATCCGGTTCATCGGGGAACTCGCCGGGCTGAGTTCTAGGAGGAGGAGGTGCGGACTTCGCGAAAGCCGCAATCTCATCCGGATCCACGTCCGCATATATATCCTGTAGCGTTCGCTTTGGATTGGGGTCACCGTGATCCACGCTACGAAGATTGTACGGCAGCCTAGTCTGCAGGGGGGAGTCATTGGAGACCTCCCCTCCTGGCCCTTCCTTTCCATGCCTCCCAAGTGTCCCTCCTTAGAAAGCACCTGACGGTTTCTTCCTCCCACACTTTCCTGGAATCCAGGGCTATTACTTTTTCTCTAGTCTCCACGCTAGCACCCCACATAGGATGTATATTATTATTGGTGCTATGCATTTCCGTATTATGCGCCAGAGCCAATGCCTTTCCCCACCCATTTGGGAACTTACTTTTAAGCATTGGTTTTATGTCATACGACGCGCTCGAGTCTAATCCGGGTACCGGCCTATTTGAGTTACCACTCAGTTCTGCCCACACACAATAGAGGCACACCTTTCCGCGAAGCAGAGACTCTCCGTAACCGGAGGCTCTATATATATATATATATATATATGGTATATATATATATAACACCACTTACAAACACCTCTCTCTTCTTATCGCTTCTAAGTATAAGATCCTTCTCTGCAGTAGGCTTCACTTCATATTCCTCAAGTTCTGCCGGAGGTGTACTTTCTAAGGTCCAAGACTTTAGTCCCTTTAGGAATACACTAGTACGCCGGGCCTGTCCAGGCCCTTTGGAATATCTGTCCCAGTGCTTGACTACTTGGGGAGTCACCAATTTTAAGATCTCCCTAGCTAAACAGCTAGCCCAAGGTCTATTCTGGCTAGCAGCTTCCATATACCCAAGCACCTTCGAATAGTTGTTTAAGGACAATTTGATTATACGTGCAGCCCTCTCATCTATATTTCCCTTCTTTCTCTTAACCTCAACCTGGCTGCCGCTCTTTGACGTGCTCCCAATTGTACTAGTCACGATTGTGTCTGGCTTTCCCCCCACCTCAACATTACCTCGTACTTCGTTTGGAGTCTTGACCTTCCTCTTGTACTCACTGTAAGTTACGGGCCTCAGAGAGAACGTAAGTATGTACATACAACTCATGGTCTGCATGGATCTTAGCAGAACTCTCCAAACAAGACTCCCATAAGGTTGTGGTGGCGGACGACACATCTCCCTGGAAATAACGCTTTTCCAAGGGAGCTCCGGGTCTAATCATTGCGCGCGGGGCAGCGCCCTCTGCCCATGAAGGGACATGTGTTCTTGCTGCTTCGTCTTCCACGGGTTTCGTTGGCTCTATAGCTGGAACCGCTCTCACCTCGTTCATCCTCCAGGACCACCCACCATATTTAGTTGTGCACATTATATTTGGTTGTGTTCAACCAAATCATACAAAGTAGCCCCTCCATCATGTTCACTGGCGACAAAATGGGCCCAATAATTCTCAAGGTTATGAATCTAGAGCTACGATCTCATACCTAAGCCCATTTTGCCGTTTCCACGTCTCTACTACACGTCTGATGTACCCAGCTTTTACCATGGCGTCAATACCACCGGCTTCTATCCTAGCGCCAACTAACTGTTTATTCTTAACAGAGAAAGCGTCGTAAGTGCAAAACCCTGCACTACATCCCAGCTCCGCCATAGCGTGCCACCTACCTATCCTTAAGCCGAGGTATTGTCTACCCAACTCCCTCTTCAAGGGTACCTGTTCTATACTTTTCACTGCTGACCTAGAACAGTAGAAGTCCACTTCGTCTGCATCTGAGGGTACTATACCTTTTTTTTTCTGTCTCTACCGGTTTGGCGACAAACGGATCCCGGGGGTGTCCCGTCGACGGTACCCCATCTGGGAATATCCGAGCATATTCTTCTGGTGTGAGGTACTCACTCGGATGGATAGTACCCCATACATTCTCCTTCCTTTCATCTTCTGGAAACTCTCCGGGCTTTGTACGTTTAGATATAGTGTGACCGGAACTCCCCAAAATCACGTCCCTAAGCGTTTATTTTAATTATAATTATTTTTTCACGGTCGCCAGTCGGTTTTCTCTGCACTACCGACAAGATTGTCTGTACTCCACGCAGTAATTTAATTTAATACTCACGTAGAGTTTTTAATAAGTTTTACGGATTCGATGCCGTTTCTTTGGATCCTGATTGACACTATCGCTATTTCGATACTGACTATATTATCTGGATTATTTCCTTCGAGACCTTTTCTTTCCCTTCTTGTTTGATTTGAAAGTTTTAGAATTTAATTGCTTACCTTTTTCTCATTGGTCGCCTTCTTTTACCTTATTATTGCGCTCTCCTAAATATCCGCACACCGCTTGGATGCTGCTCAGGGTTTTCGCCAATCCGGGATTGTATTTCTGGATGCTTTTGTAATGCACAGAAGCACCGCCAATCACCTGTGATGTAATCTAGTCACCCTAGCTGCTTCACCAATCAGCTTCCGATGTCGAGCCGTTCGCAATTTCCGATGGTGCTTTCTTTTGCAGTTTGGTTCCAATGTTTTGTTAATTAATTCACACGGANTATTAACGTTTNAACACNGTTTTATTACACAAACTTTTTACAATAGTTACACTTGTCTCGGCAACTCTTTTATTTTACACTTTATTGTATTGACAAATTTATTAAATTGTTACTCGGCGTATACGAGTTGGTTAATCCCGAGTAATTATCGCCGCGATTGATTTTTCTGCGATTTCGCGAGTTTCCTTATATTTAATCGCTTGACCGTTCGTTATCTGACGACCCCTTTTGGTTCAACCCGCGCTCTTATATAGCGGTTTCTTTCTCCCTTATAGCGGGCCTTCGATCCTTCTGGAATCCTTGTGATCAATTTTTTTATTGCTTCATCCTTAAAAAAATTTTTTTCCGGTTTCCATTTCTTAGCGCTTTTCCCATCATATTTGCACCTGTGTTATCCCTTAATTTTTTAAAATTGGATCATCGAGGTTTCGAGAAGATTCTATCTCGCTCTTTCTACACCATTCCAGAAGATTCGTTTTTCCGTTTCGCGGATCTTATGAATATATAAATTTAAGTTGTTACATATAGTGTTTTCTTTCTTTTAATTTTTTAATTATTTTTCTCTCCTGGAATCGTGTCCTTGCTCATCTTGTATCTTGTGCGTTTTCTTCTGTGCAGCAGTCTCAGATAACGGGGGTTTATTTTTTGTTCCTTTATATAAATAAACAATAAACTTGTATTACGGTCCTTATTTTATTCCAGATGTATTTCTAATATTTATTAATAACACTAATGATAATAATATAAAAGAAAATTAAAACAAAAGAAAATTAAACCCT